CCTGATGTGCAGATGGAAAGCCAGGATACAATCCCCAAGGCGTCCTGGTTTCCAGCCTGTGGCCTTGGTTCCTGCTTATTTTGGTCTCTTGGGACACCTTTGGTTGTCCTACAGGGCAGGCTGGACAGGTTTGAGCTTGGAAGCCAGTTATGTCTTTCTCACAGATAACTTGGAAATGTGACAATTTTCCCCCCAAAACCCTGGAGTCACATTTTCTGTTCTACTGGTCTCAACACAGACCCTGAATTGAGGGGAACAGGATCCAAGGTTGAAGCCAGTGTCCTGGTCCACATTTTACAGCACTGTGAGGATCAGCAGGATCAAATCTATCAAGTTTGGGAAAAGAGGTGCCATCTATATACTTCATTTCCAGGGGCTGGATGGTGTGTCCCAAAATTGGTGGTTACAGTGACTGGGGCTCTGGCCATGGCACAGCATCCTGCAGAGGGGCTGTGAGCATCCTGCTCCACATCCCCTCCCTGCCCAGCTGCGTCAGGGAGAGCCCGTGGGTTGGGAAGGCAGTGATTGTGTGAGGGTGGTGGTCCCTGGCCAGGCCCAGGCATTGTGCTCATGTGCTCTTGAGATAGAAAATAGCAGTTCTGGTCTTGAGGACAACATCAGAGCAATCCTTAAAAAGCAAAGTAAATACAAGTTGTTATTTATTATTTTTTAAAAATAGATACAGACTGCCTAATGGGTGCAGTCTGCAGCCATCTCAGGAGACTAATGGTTGCATCTGCTTTTTGGGACAGTGAGACCTTTTCAGATAAATTCTTGTGGTCCTCTGAGTCACGTGTCCTACCCTCTCACCCAGCAAGAGCCATACTTGATCTCAGCAAGTAAAAAGTAGCATTTTCAAGAGGACAGGTCTGCTGGAAGCCCATAGTGCCTGCTCCTGTGGAGCTCATTTTTTGGTGTTAAAGGCCAAGCCACTTCACCCCCAGTGTCCCAGCTGTAAAACAAGGATCATAAAATGCACGTAACACAAAAGTAGGTTGTGAAAACCTAATTAGTAAGTGTTAGTCATTCGAACCCCTCAGATAAAAATTGTGGCACTCTGAACTCTCTTCCTGAGGTATTCAGATGGATAAATTCTGCTTAATAGTCCCCCAAGGGACTATTATAGTCCCCCAAGGGACTATTATCTCTCTTTTATGTGGAGGAAGGAGAAGAGGGGGACGTAGGTTGCCCAAGGTCAGGAAGAGGCAGAGGTTTTGTTCCACCAGGAATGGGCTCCACAAATGTGGTTGAATGCAGGGGGGTTTGAACCAGATGATCTTTAAGGTCCCTTCCAACCCCAGATAATTATATGATCTATGTAATGTGTGGTTGGGTAGGGCTGAAATTCCTGGTTAGCTTATGTTTCTCATTCCCGCTTCCCATGTGTCCTGTCTACCACAGATGCTGGGGGGGGGGAAACGGGACTTGAGGGGTGGGAATTGCAAAATATCCATGGAAAACACATTTTTTAATTTGTAAGGCTGAGAATATGGACGCATAAAGCCTGTTCTTGAGAGATCCTCTCGCCCAAAGAGGCTGTGTGACCTACTTGTTCAGTCAAAGCGGCTTTGATTTCACGTATCGAAATTGCTCGAAGCGAGACCGAACCGTACCTAGCAACAATTAAGAGAAGCATTTAAGAAGCGGGAAATGATGAAAAGAGAAGCAAAAACCCTAAACAGCCCATTCATAGCGGGTGAATAGAAGAGTCTTTGCATACCTGATTTGTCAGAAATTATTCATCCAAGGAAATTTGGACCTGAAACATAAGACAATTTTTCTTTTCTATCCTCTGATATTATGAATCAGTGTCACTTTACATCTGAGCGCAGAATGTTTTGACCTATATAATGTCTTAGACAGTGGAAATTCAGCTTGAAAATCTCAAAGCAAAAAAAAAATGAGAAAGGATGGCATAAGCCAGTAAGATGGCATTAACACATATAGATGCCACTTATCACTGGAAAACATCCCAACAGAAGCCCAAAGAAAAATGTTTTGTAAATAATAGGATTAGGAAGCAGGTTGGTACTTTGTGGAGCTGGCTACACAATCAAACTGATAACAACTAGATTAATAAGGCAATTCAGTCCAAACACAGTGTAGCACTAGAAAGCTTTTCAAAATCAATGCTATCTGTACTATTTTAATCGAGGTTGGTCTTTTCCTTTTGAAGCAAAGAGATTTGAAACTCCAGGTCAGCAAGGTATAATAAAATGGACTGATTTTTTTTTTTTCTTAACATGTGCTTCGTAATTAGTACCTTCCATTTCTAAATGTTTTCCTCTTCCCAGGTTGGGGAAGTGAAGGAGTATGGTGATACTGGCTTGCCTGCGTTGGTAATTAAGTATGGCAGACCTTGGAAACTCCCGTGCCTAGCTCAGCTATGGGTGTTTTGAGCAGCTATTTTGTCTGGCTGGGACCCACCAGTGGGCTGAGCTGTGCAGGATGGCTGGACAGGGCCATACACCCCATGGCATCATATGCACAGCACATGTTGTCTTTGACTGTACAAAGGGAGATTTTAGGGAAAATGTCCTGAAGTTGTAGTGTAGGACAAAAAGCACCAAAAGGCTGATAGTTTTGAAGCCACAGGAATTTTTAAGGATTCACTGAACCAGCAGAGACCTTCAGCCAACTATCATGTCCCAGCTTTGGGCAGTCTCCATGGCTTGGAGAAAGAAACCAAGCCTGGTACAGGGAGCAGTGCCTTTGCCAGCATCTCAGGTGTCTGTCTGTGAGGGCATTGTGGCTGCTGCTGGCCAGCAAAGCAGTGAGCCCAGTGCCATGGAGCAAGTCATGGGAAGAAGGTTAGCAGAGCCCTGCTCTCCTTACACCCCCTCCATGTTCGTGTATGACAGCAGAACCCTTTGTGCTCTGTTTGCATTGCAATATTTTTGCTTCTCACTGTGTGTGAAGGGGAAAGAGTAACCCCTGAAACTGTGCTTTTAGGGTTTCTCAGCCAGGGACCTGGCAGCCAGTCTCCTTCCCCCCATACTGCACAAAGTCAGCTGTGAGATGTGCTTTCAACTTGCCTACCTTGTGTCCAGCTTCTCCAGCCTTAATTCCAGGAGAAGGCTTGCACAGACCTGTCACTGGGGGTGTGTAAGGCTAGACTGGTTAAATGCATTTGAATAATACGTTGTGATGCTTTGGATCAGTCCTGCTGTAGGCACAAAACATGGAGATGGGAGCTAACGGGTCTTCTCCACTTCCTGATTTCCATGGTATCTTTTTTTTTTCCTTTCTCAGAGATTGTGAACTGGCACTTATTCAGGGAAAAAACCCATTTATTTTTCTAAGCATTGTCTGTCCTTACAGCAAGTGTGAAGGAGTGTGAATCCCATTTGGAAGGCTCCTTCAGAGGAGACGTATCTGAGCAGATGCGTGGTTTGCACACTAATCCAGTCTGCTCCCACACCCCGTGGTGAACCCCATTAAAGCAGAGGCTTGTTAAATGCCAGTAGGCTCTAGGAATGAGCTAGTCCTGCTGTTCCCTTGATGCACCAAAAAATGAAACAGCTCGCCGACTCTCAGGTCTCTCAAAGGAAGGAGGAGGGTGTCGGAGCAGGAATCGCTCTGACTTGTCCATAGATGGTCTCTGGCAGGAGGGAGGAAAGGGACAATCATCGTGGCATTTCCAAGGGTTTGCTGTTGTGTGGTGCTGAGGCCTGCGCTCAGCCTAATGAAGGGATTTATGTCACATCCCGCAAGCCTGAAAATCTTTTAATAGCACTGATTGTTCACACACTCTGTTTCTTTTTCAGTTATGTCTAATGCATTTGGGATTTTTTCAGAACTCACAGAAATACATTCTCCTGAGATACATTTTCATTAAGGTATATATTTCCAGGTAACAATATTTCTGCTGGAAGAGAATTTGGTTCTCTTTATGAGTGTTTTCATTGGGATATCTGTGCAATGGAAACAATAAGACAGAGCAGTGTGGCAGTTAAAATATGTCTGACTCCCACTGTGCATCACAAGGTGGGCAACTCATTCTTTGTGACCCCTTTAAAAGCAGCAAGCTAAAGCAAGAAGGGGCTCTTCAGCCAGCTAGATACAGACCAATACTTGTATGTATTTATTTTTAAGTGAGGTTACACAGGTCATGTGAGTGATGTAGGTTTCTGAAGGGGCTTGGTGCCATCTGTTCTTCATTATAGCATATATAGATGCTGGAAACTCTGGCTGTTCTTTCCTACAGGTCATGCTCAGACAGGTCTGGCACCTGTCCATGTGTGGTGGTGTCAGGCCATGGGAGTGACAGTGCTGTCACTTAGGTTTGAGTTCCAGCATGTGAATGACTGTGGTGAGTTGGCCTCGTAGATTCAGCCAGGTTACACTTAAAGTGGGAACAAGAGGCTTCAGGGCACTCATGGGATTGGAGGGGGCTGGCATGGGGCTTTGGGTCACTGGAACCTGGGAGAAGGGACATTGTGAAGATGAGGTCTCCACTGGTTACCAGGAGGCTGGTGACTCAATCTGGATAAAATAGAGATATTGGACAGTCTCAACTAAAAGCTCACATAAACACAGTGGTGGGAACCCTGTCCTGATCATTCAGCTCATCCCTATCTGAAAAGGAAGGGAAGGTCCCTGGGCATCCTGGAGTTGAAGGAGACCTTCTCTGTGCACTGCTAACACGTGACTCGTAAAGAGAAGTAGAGATGTATTTAATGCAACTATTGGCTGCACGCTGCTTTGACAGCAGAGACCAGATGTCTTTGATGGCTGGTTAGATCACGCAGGTATTATCAATTGGGCTGGCTCAGAGCTTTTCTGCCAGAATGATTTTACGATCGCAGTAGGGCAGCAGTGACGGTGGATGAAAAGCCCTTCAGAGGCATCAGGACATCTCCCTTCTGGATGGGGTGGGACTCGAACGGCATGGCAGTGTCTCCACTCGGAGCCCTTCAGAGCAGGATCTCTTGACTGTTGAACAGTGCTTGGCAAAAAGAAGCTGGATTTATAAATAATGCATTTCCTTTGTCTTGCAGGAGTTCTGGAGGCAGAGGTACAATCAGATCAGCTGTGAACAGCTTACATAGCAAATCTAATAGGTTTGTAAATTAGATTTTGTGTTCATTTGTTTTTGCTGTAAGGCAGCTATTAATCTGCTTCTCCTCTTCGCTGGATAGTGCTGTTCTGATTTAGCAAATGTATCTGTTTCTTTTCACTTCTGCTTTGCATTTTCTTAATCGTTTCTCCCCCTCCTTCTTCCAGCTCAATGCAATAATCATTTGCAAATAACCAAGGATCTGCAAGTTCCGGTGATTGAGAGAATGAGAAAGAGTTACTTATTGTGAAAATAAGTCAGTGATAGAGTTGCTATTTCCATAGTTTTAAGTGCTATTAGAAGAGAGATTGCTGTGTTTGAGATCAGAACTCCATTCAGTTTTATCGCAATGCACTCCTGTAACGTCGCTCCATTGCAGAGTCATTCCGTGGCATCACAGCCTCATTCAGTGTCTCCCTGTGTTATTTTTACAGTGATTCCCTGTCAGCCCAGCGTTACCAAGTGGCACAGTTGAAAAGCTTAGTGACACCATGTGAGAAAGAGTGATGTCATTCTGTGATGATGTCACCACCCATGATCGAAACACAGAAAATGGACAAACCCCAAAAAATTGTAGTTATTCCCAAGATTTCTTTACCCTACTTCCTTTATGATTTTTGACACCTTCTACATAAGCTCTGCAAGACACAAGTGATATGGCAAAATGCAAGATGCAAACAAATTCAACTGACTGGCAGCCTCTAGAGAGGTACTGTACAAACACACACCAGGACACTGGCAGCCAGCATTTATAAACACATTTCCTTGCCTTCCTGAAACATTATACTGTGTGAGCTACAGTGTGTCCTGGGGAGCACTTTTCCTGTGCTGGAGATTTGTTCTCTGGAGCTGGATGTTGTCCATGAGCCTGAGCCGCCAGCTCTGCCCCATCTTTCACTCTGCTCCCTCCTTGGGGTTTACATGCTTTTTATAAATGCATTTATTTACAAACCATTTCCCAGCTGGAAAAAGCCCTTTGCACTGGAGAGAGAGATTCCTTTTAGCTGATAGTGAGTGCTTTGGCTGTGTATTTTTCAGAGTGCTCTGTAGTGTGAAGGCTTTTTCAGGGCTGCAGATACAGACACAGCTTCTTGATGAGATGCTTGGCTATTGTTTTTGGAGGGCAGCTGGCTGGAACCAAATATTTGGAGACTCCTTCAATTCATGCCATTTGATTTAAACAGCACTAAAGTGCTGGGGCTGATTTGCTTCTTAGAGCAGGGATTAAAAGCTGAGTTCTCCCCGTGATCATCTCCAGCATCTGGCTGTTGCTCACTTCTTGGTCTGGAACAGGCGATACGGGTGCTTAAATCCTCGTGCTCAATTCTAGCCAGGGAAGAAGTTTCCAGCAGGCCAGCCTGCCCCTGATTGGTGCAAGATGCTCACAGCCCAGTCTCACAGGCAGCACCCAGCAGCTCAGCTGAATTAATTTCTCCTTTGGTTGGAGTGAGGTTTGCACCTCTCTGACAGGGATTTTTATCCTCTCCAGGAGCTGAGCTGGCTCCGCTTTGGGATCCTCATGGGATTCCAAGAGGCAACAGGGCAACAGCCTTGGCTAGGAGATTTCTTAGTGAATTTTGGGGGCTCCCTGGGGTGTCTTGTCTGCAAGTGTCCATCTGCCAGCCTGTCTTTGCAGAGCCTGTGTGTGGGTTTTTGTGCTCAGCTTTCTGCAGCTCGATGTGTAAGAGTGTGTTTTCTGTAGAACTGTGCCTGGCTGTCAGTCTGTGTTCGTGGAAGCGAGTAGGTATTTAAGGATTTGTGTCTGTCTGCTTGAGTGTAGCAGCATACAAACTGGCTTTCAGTTCTTGTTTAGCTAATAACTACAATTTTGCTTTTCTGATGAAGTTTGAATTCCAGCAGCCAGAGCCAGAAGACAGTGATTAGAATTGCCATTGGGATGCTAACAGATCCTGTCTCCCTCCCTTTCCCTGACTTTCTTTTCTCTAGAGCTGAAGTAGTTATAAATGACTCCTCGTCTCCAGCTGTTGTTGACAGAAGTAATGAAAGCATTAAGCACAACATTAAACCAGCTTCATCCAAATGGAGACACAACCAGACACTCTCTTTGAAGATCAGGTACTGGTAATTACCTATAGGACAAGAGACAGATTTGGTCCTCTCCAGTGCAAGCTGGCAAATTGCCTCTGTATATCATCTAAAGAAGTCGAGAAAGAAATAAAAAGACTTATCTCTTGCTGAGCTGGGCTTCGTATCTGTAAGCGATCGCTTGGAAATGAATTCCCAGCTGAACCAGCTGGCCTGGCAATGATGGAACGAGGGACACTTGAGCCCCTTGTTTTTTGGGCCAAGTGGAATTAGTGTGTGCAGGCCATGGGGCACAGAGGGGAGAAAGAGAGCCCCCTCCCAGGGTAAACTCAGGGACCCCCCACTAACTGACTGTGTTCACCCGTCCCAAGCAGAGATGGGTGGTAAGGGTGGAGATATCTATTTGTAAGCTGTTGAGCATCGGTCAGATGGACTGGCCAGAGAACAAGGGCAGCCAGGAGGCAAAAAAGAGCTCATCTTCTGTATGACCCAAGTTCTCTCTGTACCTCACCTGATGGGGCTGTTTTCTTCCTCATCCTCAGGAAACAGATCTTGAAGTTCCTGGATGCAGAGAAGGACATTTCAGTGCTGAAGGGGACACTGAAGCCGGGGGACATCATCCACTACGTCTTTGACAGGGACAGCACCATGAACGTCTCTCAGAACCTGTACGAGCTGCTGCCCCGCACCTCTCCCCTCAAGGGCAAGCAGTTCCCCACCTGTGCCATCGTGGGCAACTCGGGGGTCCTGCTCAGCAGCGGCTGCGGCCCCGAGATCGACGCACACAGCTTTGTCATAAGGTAGGGACCCGTGCCCTGTGGGTCAGTGCAGTCGAGGGGGATCCAGCAAGTTCGGAGCAGTGGAAGGGACTGGAGACCTGGTGGTGTGGGGCAGCACAGCCTTGCAGCCCCACGTGCATGTGTGAAGTTCACCCACTGCTGCAAACTCTTCCACCCTTCTCCAAGTGCTCCCTCAGTGTTCTTGCAGATGCACTCTGTGTCTTCTCATGGTGCACCATTAGCCCCCCCCAGCTCCTCTTCTCCCACTTGGTTGCTGTCTTGCAAAGCCCTGGACTCTCACAAACTCAGTTCTTTCCCAAAGCACTTCTGACCTCGAGCACCACTTGTGCATGCCCAGGTCTGACACTCCCCTGTGGCTGGTCTGTCCTCAGCACAGATGCACCGTCCCAGGGACCTGCAGAACACTTCCTGAGCCCCACTGGGACACAGTGAAGTCACTCCTGGAGGTGTTTGAAGTGGAGAGGAGGAGCTCCTGCCCTCCCATCCCCAACACCCCTGCACAGCTGTTAGCTGAGGGGCTGTGGGAGTCCACTGATGATTTATGTACATGCAGACGTTTGTTTTCTGGTGAGTCTATTATGAAGACAGCCCAATCCATCAGCAGCTCACAAAGGCGGTGCCGGCATGACATGGGAACGAGGATAATGTCACCTCTGCCCCCCATTCAAACCTGGCTGCTCCAGCCTGGCTGGCTGCTGGCAGCTCCAGTCTATCCACAGGAGGTGGAGCATTATCGTTAAATGTAACCTGAGTGAGCAGAGGGAAAAACTGCTTATTGCCGTTCTGGCAAAGTTTGAGGAGCTGCTTTCACATCAGGCAGCAAAGTGGCAGGAGAAAAGCTGCTTTGAATGTAAGAATTGGGATTTTGAGTGGCTTCTCCCCAGCCGTGTGCTAGTGCAGGTTTGGTGTGGACATGCTTTTCCCACCGTAGGTTATCTGAGCCATCAATTGAACCTGCATATTCCTGAGGAAGGTTTGCTCCATCCAGGCAGCCTTTCCAGCAGGGGTTGGCAGTGACCCGTGATAGGGTCTGTGTCCATGATACATATCCAATGTTTATTTTCTGCAGCGATGAGTGGATCAGCAGGGCCCTGCATGCCAGTAGCTGGATTTTCTTTTAACCATTTCCTTAGTTTCTCCATCTGTGAAGTAGGGAAAACAGTAATGATGGCTGATTATTGAGGCAGATGGTTAGGATGCGATTCCTGCTCGTTAGATACTGTAACTGTCAGAAACCACAGCAGAGCATGCAGTGTGCGAACACATGGGTACCCTCTAGTTTTTACGATGCTGGGGGAACATCTACTTATATCCCCTCATCAGCTGCTTCCCAGTGCCATTTGCTCTGTGCCATGTGCATGGCATGGACATGGCTTACTAGCCACAGATCCCCATCCCCCAAGGAAGCCGCTCTTTCATGAGGGTGGTTTGATGGCAGTTTATCCTGCAAGCCCTCAGCCCTCAGCCCTGTTGTGACAAAGGAGCTCATGGCATGTGGCCTGTGTCCACGTGCACAGCCTGAGTGGAAGCACCCATTAACACTGCAGAAAGAGTTATTTTTTGAAGGTCACAGCCTCCAGACAGCCAGAGCCTGTGGAGACCACCTCTCCCTCTGGTGTCAGTATCACCACCGGTGCCACTGGGTCTGCTGTTTGCAGAGACTCACTAGCAGGAGAAAAGGAACTTGGGATAACATTACTCCAGCAGGGCTGGAATTAAGAGGCGAGTGCTTTCCTTGTGTGGGAAAGGCTGTTTTATTTCAAATCTGCTGTGGGAGCAAAGACAGGAGGTTTGTTGCTGGTGTTATTTTTGAACGGCACCAGAAGAGCCACCAATCCGTACAAACCACCCACCAGACACCACAGTTATGGCTGTTATTATCATTGTCCCAGAGGGATATACATGCACATATCATCATGCTGAGGAATGGTGGCCTGATACTGAGACAGTTTGTCATTACTGATTTATTGCAGAGGCTCATTCCCCCTTTTCTTCCTCCCAGAAGCGAGGGTGAACGGGCCCTGGTTTTTGGCATCACACACCTCTCATGCCTGTCACTGCCCTCTCTCAGTCAGTTTAAAAGGGCTGTTTGGTGTTTTCCCCTCACAGGTGCAATCTGGCCCCTGTCCAGGAGTACTCGCAGGACGTGGGCATGAAGACAGACCTGGTGACCATGAACCCCTCGGTCATCCAGCGGGCCTTTGAGGACCTGGTGAACGAGACTTGGAGGGAGAAGCTGCTGCAGCGCCTGCACAGCCTCAACGGCAGCATCCTCTGGATCCCGGCCTTCATGGCCAAGGGGGGCAAGGAGCGAGTGGAGTGGGTGAACGAGCTCATCCTGAAGCACCACATCAACGTCAGGACTGCCTACCCCTCGCTGCGCCTGCTGCACGCTGTCCGAGGGTGAGAGCGTCTCCGGTGTGCTCCGAGCCAGGATTTCCTGAGCCTCCTGAGCTGGAGAGAGGGGGATGGGTTTGTGCTGGAGGAAAGCAGTGCAAGTTGTTTCTCTCTGCAGACCATGAGGAGGATTCCATGGGTGGTGGATGGTCCCTAGATGAGAGCTGGAGACCACCTTGTGAACAGGGGCTTCCCACTTTGTTCTTTGATTGTGAGGGCTTTTAGCAATATACCAAGTCTTAGTTTTCCAGTGCTTTCTTGGGCAAAGAAAGCACTGGAACTACTCTCCAGGCTGTGATTTGGGCTTTCCTTGGAGAAATGTGTGCACTGAGCTTAGCAATGAGATTTGTCACCTTGTGCTTGAGTGACGAGCAAGTCTCACACAGGTCCTCTGGTCTTGTGACAGCCTGGACAGGAGGGGAGTGACATGGTCTGGCCTTGCTGATCAGATAAATGGGGCCAGGCAGTGGGGAATGGGCTTGCTGGGAGGGAAGGAAGGGGTCTTTCTGCTCTCTCCTGGCATCTTCAGGAGAGACATGTGGTATACAGGAGACACAGTTGTGGTGGGAAAGAGAGCCCTAGAGGTGAGACTTTGATGTAAATGACTTGGAGATGTGGTCAGCTCTTGCTTTCATTCCTTATTTCACTAGGGAGAGTTATGATTCCTTAGGCATTTAGGGAGTCTAGGCAGGCAGTGGCTTTTGCTGGAGATGACTTATGGCAGTAGTTGTCCTCTGATCCTGACTAGACCCTGTTAATCTTGCAGGGTAGAAATTTCCTGGTGCTTCCACTTCTAAGCCTCTGCATTACTGTTTCTTGATTGTTTGAGCACTTGTCCCCCCACATCTCTGTGCCTGAGCTCTGCTGGTCAGTTGGTCAGTGCTGGGTGTTGTCTGTCCCAGCTCAGGTTGTGTGTCGGTGATGGGGGTGGGCAGGGGACAGGTTTTGGGGTCATTTCCTGCAGGATCAAGCTTAAGGGGGGTGCTCCAGGACAGGCTGGGAGGAGCAGAGGCTCTGGTGCCCCCACAGGCAGCAATAATGAGCAAGAAGAACCGCATCTACCCCAAGTGCCTGTGTTAGAGGCTTCCCCGGGCCAGAGAGGCATCTTACAGAAAACCCTGGCTTTGAGGTAAAGAAAGGGAAGGAAATGATACCACAAAGAGGAAGGAAAGACAGGAAGGAAAAAAAAACCCCACAACCCAAATTCTGAGCTATTTCTAGCTGTAATTGACTTACTTTCATCTGGCAAAATAGAATTAAGCTCCTGTAATAAGCCCTTTAAATCAACATGCTACTAATCCCGTGCTGGCAGCCATTCCCAGTGCCAGAAACTTCCCATAGGAAGCTTTGCAGAGGGATTGGCAAGGGTTGGGCATCACTTTCCCATGGGAGAGGAGGATGCCTTCACAAGCTCAGCTGCTGAGATTATCCTCCAACTCACGGCACCTTCCCGGCCCTCCCATGTCACAGCCCTGCAGTCCAGCTGGGCTGGCTGGCACGCTGGTTATCCCTGTGGAGCTCCAACAGAGCAGTGTTTGAGCCACCACCCCTGGCTAGCAGGTCCTGCCTGGCTGGAGGAGATGCAGGAATTTTGGGAGAAGGCCAGGGGCTCAGCACTGTCTCTCAGTGCAGGGAGCAATGCACCCCCCCTCCCCTTGGCTTCAAGTAGTGTGTTCCTCTTGCACACGTTGGTGTAACCATGGGCTTTACTGGGGTCCCGTGCAAGGAACTTGGGTTTGGGCTTCTCAGAACCTACTGGGGCTCAGAGGGAGGCAACCAGTCAGACCAGCAAGTGAGTGGAGTGAGTTGGTGGTGTCTGGGATAGGTATGGTACCAGCACGTGGTTGGATGATGCTGATGACAGGCTCTAAGGTCTGGGTTGGAAATACAGCCAAGACCTCCATCCTGTCCTTGGGCTGGTCACCATGGGGGGGGCAATGGAGAAAGGTGGGTTGTAGGAGAACAGAGACAGAATAAGTGCAGCACTAATTCAATTAGAACCATAGAAACCAGTGATAATCCTTGTCAGGGATTGCCCTCTAAGCCAAGGGAGCTGCTGCCTGACCTGCCCTCCTGCTCTCAGACTTACCAGTGGGAAAATAATGATGCCTGCTGATTAGCAATTAATATAATGAAAACTGCAGCCCCCTCAGAAAGCAAGAACTGATGGGAGCACTTCAACACCTAACCAGGGTGTTGTGACCTGGCCAAGGAGCCCACAGAGAGGTCACCCAGGGCTGGGGGGCAAAGGGCTGTGTAACTCTGGTGGAAAGCTGGAGTCAGCATTAACCCTTTCCTTGGTGCAGCTTCCTCCGGTTTGGACTTGGATGGATTTAAGAGCAGTAATACTGATTCAGGCAGTATTGAGTGAATTGGGCACAAGAGGGAGGTGGCTGACGCTCTTGGTGCTATGTAGGAAGTTTCTCAGGTACTAATAGGGTTGTCTTGCCCGTCTGCTTAGAATGATTGATAGGATGTTGTTGGAGGTGAAGACGGAGTCTTTCCTCAGGTCAAACTGACCAGAATCACTAAGAGTTTACTTATTCATCTTCTCTGACACTGCCTAATTCCCGTGATCATCCTTTATGTTTGCTTATGAGGGATATGGTCTCCAAAAACTTCCTTTGTCTCTCATCTGCAGAACATGCTGATTCATAGCATTACATTTTTCTTTGACAGATCTGAGGTTTGTGAAACAAACACAATTTGTGGCATGTGGCAATTTGCAGCAGAAAATCAACAATTCACAAAGCCCTACAGCGCATCCCTCTTTGCTGCAGTGAGCTGCAATTGCAGACATGTCCCATCTTCTCTTTTGCTGGTTAAAACTACCCTTTATAATCTACCATGAGTTGATTTGGAAATCACAAAAAAAATAGGGGAAGTCTTTCAGCCAAGGCACCTGTTTTAGAATAGCATTTTCTAGAAAGGCTGACATCTCAGCCATCTTCAGTCTGGCTACAAAAGTTCTGCCTTGTCTTCCTTCACTACCAGCGAAATACATTTGTGAGTCTTTGACTCCTCCTTGAACCACAGTATTTATTGTCCTGCTCTGCTTTCCCTCAAACCAAAATACATTTCAGTGGCAATTGAACATTTTTCCTATAATTTTCAGTGCATTTGGGGCATTTGTGGAGTGTGCATTGCTGAGATAAGTAAAAAGCATTTGGTTTTGTTGTCCTTAACAGCATCATTTGAGACATCACCTTTCCAGCTGTGAGGGTGCCTTAAATGTTTGCTGATAGCTTTTTGTGTTGTTGCTTCCGCGCAATCGGTGCAATAGGACAGAGGCTCCTCTTACACGGTTCAGCTCACCATCTTCATGCCAGGGAGGGCACAGAGCCTTCAGCATTTCAGTGGAGGTGGTCAAAAGGAAGCAGAGTCACACCTCAGGCTGGAGGGGGAAGCTGTGTGGTGGCAGGGAGCCAGTTCGTGGGGATGGTACCGTGCGTTTCAGAGTTTCGTGTCTCAATTCACAGTGATTCTGTGAAATGTCTCCTGAGCAATTCTTCTGGTAGATACCTGGCTGGGAAACAAGCAAGCCCCTTGGAAGTCATGTGCTAGTGTCTCCAAAAAGACTTGTAATAATCCCTATTGCCAAGCAGCTTTTGTTAGAGAAATAATATGAAATGCAGGAAGAGAGGGAAAATAATTGTGTCTGGAGTATTGCCTGTCACTCCTTGCAGACAATTCACGGACACGTTGCACTTTGCCTTGTCTAATCTGGTCTAGTGTTCCTCACTGTGTCCATCATAAGGGCCTCTTGGCAGTAACCAGTTCTAATTCCATAAGATTTTGTTATGTGCTTCTTAAAGGAAGAAAAAAAAAAGTTAAAAATCAATAAACCTTCCAGCTCCTTGGCTTAGCCTTCCATTAGGTTTAACATCCAAATAACTGTGACAGTTTAGGACAGCGATCGCCCTGCTCAGGGTCCATGGTGCCATTCTGCCATGTCTCCTCAGAAGTACAGCCTGGCAGGGCATAAGGTGGATTCAGCTTTGCCTTGGATGTCTGCCTGGGTCCTCACACCCAAACAGTGGTTAAGCCTTCGCTGAGTTTTCAGGGCCTTTCCATCCATCTGTGCTGGAAAGCCTCCCCTGATCCCTCCTCACCTTGTGTTCTGGTTATGCCAGATCTTTTCCAACAGCTTTTGCCTGCTTATAGCCACACAGGACAAATGTGTGCAGATGATTCTCCTGACCTGTTGCTTTGATTGCACTCTTTTGCATCCCTCCACGGACCCTTCTTTTCTCCCAACACATCAAACCTAAGCTGCTGCTTTTCTTTTTCACAGCCCTCCTGGCTCAGATTTTCTAACCCTCTGTCTCAAGATTGGTTCTGCTGTGTCCACCAGCATCACCCACCTGCAGATTTTCTAAACCAGCTACTTCATGCTTCCTCCCTTTCGTGCTTCCCCCTTTCAGGGGCTTCTCTACCTGCCCTGGGGTCTCGTGCCTTAAAGCCCTTTCTCTCTGGTCCCACAGACAGGTTAAGGACAGCAGTCCTGTGCTCACGTGAGGGAACAAGGCGGCCAAAGGGTGTAGGGGGAGAAAACAGCCATACACAATTGTGTGACTGGGGTGGGATGTGGGGAGGAAACTACAAACACTCCGTAAAGTTAAGTGTGCATTAGGTCAGTGGATGTCCTACAAATAAATCCCTGTGTGAGCAATTATTCTCACCCCTTAAGTACTTGAAAAACGTTGTACCCAAGCTGTGGTGTGTCTGCACTGGGATTCCAAGACTGTTAATTTGTTCTATTTAATTGGGAAGAAGTTTTAGTCTTTTCTATGTCAGAAGAAGGAATCCGATGTAGGTAGGAAAGGGGAAATGATTAGGGTAATTCTCTTCCCAGTTCTTTTCCTCCTCTTCTGTCTGTTTTCAAATGCTCTAACTTATGGATGTTGAGTACCATAAGTGTTTGAAAGGGCATCACAGAGCTCAAGACCTGGAGGAGCAGAGAGAGTTGATTCTGTGATTCAGCCTTGACTTGCTTGTGCTATGTCACCAAAAGCAGAGCCAGGCCACGCAGTAGGGATTCAGTCTGAACAGAGAGGCTGGGTTTGGTGTTTAGGCTTTGCCCAGCCTGGGGATAAAGCCCAGCTCTGACTCCAAATCTAGCTTTTAGGAGTCAGTGTTAGCATGACTCTGGGTGGGGACATGCCCATTCCTGCCTGTCCGGCACACATCTCATCACTGTACGTGGCTCTTGGCTGTTTTGGTGCTGGTGACAGAGGAGGCTGGACACCTGGGACAGAAAAGGGCTGGGAGGAGCTGGATGAGGGGATAGCAGTTGCTCCCTGGACTCCAGCACTTCATCCACCCAGCACCAGGATATGTGCTGTGCCCTGCCAGCACCAGCGGGTCCTGTCCCCACCTGCCCCAACATGAGTGTGGAGCACAGTCGGGGTGCTCACTCTCATTATCTGTGTCTGGTTTTTCCTGAGTATTACTGGGAGCAGAATGTGTGTGGCAGACTGATAATACGCTTCTGCCAGTCAAGGACTAGCACCTCCACAACAGCTTGTGTTTATATCACACTTTTATGAATAAGCTGTTTTAAAAGGGTCTGAAATTGCATTATTTCAGCTATTCTGATTTGTATCACTAAATAATGCAGCTGATACTGCTGAAATTTGATTTCTTCATTGACCTGAGTCTTTTATTCATTTCATCAGGGCAATGGATTTTCTGTTCATTTTGTCCTGCGGGTTAACCCTTACTTGGAGGGTACAAGTTATTTTAGGGTTTTTTCAGTCATGTCGGGAGGTGATGGGTAAGCACAGAGCAGGACCCTCAGATGCTGCCTGCATGGAGGAGTTTTGCATCCAATGTTTCAGCCCAAATCCAGGCCAGGCTATGCCCCCCAAATTCAGTGATGCTGCAGGAGGATGAATGCTGTCAGTGAATGCTCCAGGTGTGCAATGGGAAGGCTGCCACCTTCCCTGACTTGTGTGGCAGCTTTGGCTTCCTAGAGGCAGTTTCAGTGTTGTCTCCTGAAGGACTCCCACTGAGCTTTAAGGTCCAAATACAGCAGTTGCTTTCCCTGTGACTACAGAGCAGCCCCCTCACAGGAGACATACACCAATGGTCAGACACCTGGCAGCAGGTCTGCTTAGGAGACTTCTAATCTCCAACTGATGATTAGGAGATGAGGAGCAACCAGAGCCACCCACCAGCTAGGATAAGGCTCTCTGAGCTGCTCTTCTTAAAGCCTCTGTCCTTGGCCTCCACCAAGTCTTAGTTCAAGCAGGTGCTAGGGCTTGTGTCTAGGCTGCCTCCTTACAAAAGATGGCCTTGAAGATCTGATGGCATTTTCCATCTGTCACTATCATGATCCAAACCAAGAGCTGTCTCAGGCAATTTTTCCCTGACAGCATTAAAGATCCTGTTCACAGCCGCATCCCGCTCAGGCTGCCGCCTATCTCTGTAACTGCTTCCACCCCTGAGGGTTTATTTACAGGCACAGCACCAGCTTCTGAAGGAGGTCCACACTGCTGAGAACGGAGGAATTTGGTTTCAGGACTGCTCTTTGCTCTTCTCTTTTAATTGTTGTCTCTTCCCATAAAATGTTTCAGTTAATAGTTATGGTGATTGGTGTAGCCAATTCGAAAAATAATTACTACCTGCTTCAAGATTATCTTTCCTCCTAATTAAAATCCTGGACCTCACATATTAAAGGTGTGCTGTTGACACAGCATTCCATGTGCGCCCAGACAACCTCATTTGGATTTACAGAATTAATTAGGTTTTATTTCCATCCCCAGCTGTTCTCTCCTGCACCAAGAATGTGGCCACTGTCTGAGCTGGACAGCGGTGGGAGAGATAAGAGAGACATCTTCTTGCATAGCTCCCACACTCCCATCACAAACCGGTCATTAAACAGTATTTCCCAGATCTCACCAGAGAATTTCCCACCTTCACTGTCCAGGAAAAAAAATTGCAGGTGCTGTTGTGTGGCGTGTGTTATGGTTTGGGCATTATGTGTTACGTGTGTCGTCGGTGTGGTTGGACTGGGACAGCCGGGAGTCCATCACCCCTTCCCGAAGCTGTGGTGAGAGTTTATGATGCTGTAGGAGCAGGCTTTGGATCCTTCTCATTTTTACAATACCCTGCCTGCAATAGAGAGAAATACAGACAAAAGAGCCAGGTTTTGATTTTTATTATAAAAAAATGAATGATCAGTATCCCCTACCCCAATAATATCAAGTGAATGTTCACTAGCTGTGTGTGCTGAAGTGGGTATGCCAGGTTGGTTTTTGTAGGGCTGCTTTTGGGTCTTGTTAAGGTTTTTTGTGCATGCTGGGTTGCAGAGGATGGCATGGTCTGTAGGCTGCTTCAGTGTTTGGCCCAGGTCATTTTGTCATTGTTATTATGCATGAAACTGATGGTCACATGAATGCCCCATGTGCAGGAGTCACTTCATCATGCTGTCAGGGTCCTTATATGTTCACAGAGATTTTACAGCCTCTCAACAAAACACACAACTTAATATTTTGGGCAGGCAAAAGGTCACCAGTATCTTTTTGTGTTCCAGCTGGTAAATTGATAAAAATTGATAAAAGGAGGATTTTAAGGCTAAAGCAGCTTGGACAAACCTAGACGGTTGCCTTCCTCCAAAGCCAGCTGGTTAATATGGCTTGACAGTTCTTCCCAGTAGCTTCCCTGCTGCATGAGGATACCCTAATTCACAGTGTTAAATGGTTGTGATAATCTCCCATTTCCCTCTGCGAGCAGAAGGTCTAATGTGCTTACCCATAAACTCATCAAGGAGGCTGGTTTATTGCTACCTGTGGGAGCAGATTGCCTTGACACCGCAGTGAGCTGTGCTGTGTCCCCACAGTGCAACCCGTATGGCCAGGCAAGCCCAGGAAATGCTGATGCTGTGCCGCCGAGTTTCTGGTTTTCCCCCCCAGTTGCTACTTTTTCACGCTGGATGCCAAGATGAATCAGGCAAGAACCTCCTTCCCAAAACATCGTGCTCATCCTTCGCTAAAGCTGCAGGAGCTTTGACGCCTCTGGATGTTGGACCCCAAAACACCTCCCTGTGCCCTTCCTGTACGTGCCAAGGCGGTTACTCTGCTTCCAGAATTTGATTTCACCAGAAAAGTCAATTTCTCTCTTATCTGGCTGAGAACAAGCAAGCACGTTTTGTGCCTTGGTTGCTAAATTTTAATGGCTTTCGTGAAAAGCTAATTTGCAGGATTAAGGCTCAGCTCTCCCAAGGGTTCCTGCTGTCTGAGCATCAGACCCTCAGGAGTCCAGCAAAAAGTGCAAATGAGGAGGAAGACACTTCCCAGGGCTCCGCTGCGACTGCAGGACTCGGCTCAGGATCCCAAATGTTGGGTGAGAGCACAGAAATGCCACATGCTCTGCTCCACTTACTCGTGTCTTTTATCCAAGGGGCTGCCAGTCACTCACTTGAGCTCAGGCCCTTGGAAATATCTGTTAAAAATAATCCAAGGGCTCAAACAGGCTGTGGCACAGTGGGATGAGCTGCCTGCACCAACCCTGCTTGCTGTGGGGCCGTTCTGGCATCAGATATGCTGAGAGAGGAGGGAGTGCACCCGATGGGGACATCTTCTATCTCCCCAAACCTTTTGCTTTCTGATTTTGCTCCTCTGACAGTATTTTTCTGCTGAGCAAACCAGCTAAGTTGCCTGTGCAATAAATACTGGGGGCTGGAAACATCTTCTTACAGGATGTTGATGCTGCGATAACTTTTATCGGCAGCCCAAAATACAACCGCTGATACCGTTTCTGCTCCTGCATCAGTACATCCTTCCCCTTTTCTTTTTGCCATCCCTCATAAAAACTAACGTGCTTCCCAGCAGCAGGCACAGCTGACCTCCATATCTCACATTATGTATTGCAGTATGCCATATTGTGTGTCTGATGGACTGATGGTGCAGAGTGTGGCGATGTATCTTGGTCCAGTATCACAGCAGCAGTTGCTGGGTGTAATGGGAACTCAGCAGCGTGTTTCAGCTCTTTTAGCCTGGTGACCCTTTGTTCCAAGGCAAATGTTTTTGCAGCCCTATTGTGTTTACTGTCAGAGTAAAAATCTTCTTTTATCAATGAAAATCAGCAGCGTGTGTATGACTGTCTGCTTCAAGGGGTTGCTGGAGTCTACTTGACGTGGGTGGTTTGGTCTGTGGTATTGATCTCCTGGGTTGATTGGAAGATAATTGTAGGCTGAAGTACCGAAGGCCACTGATGCAAGCAATTTGTTTTTTCATAAAGGATTGCCAAGGCACGAGATGCTTCAGTGCCATGGCAACAAGTGTGATGTAACCAGCAGACAGAGAGCAGGAGGATACAGTCCCTAGAGAGGCTTTTTCTTGGCGTGGAGAACTCTCAACTAGTCAGAAACCTCTCACTTTGAATCACCAATATATCTCAGTTGCAGACCGGAGCGAGATAACGTGCAAGACACGAGCCTGGTGTGCGGGGTGAGTAACAGGCTTCCCTCTCCCTTCGCAGGTACTGGCTGACCAACAAGGTGCACATCAAGCGACCCACCACTGGCCTCCTCATGTACACCTTGGCCACTCGCTTCTGCAACCAGATCTATCTCTACGGCTTCTGGCCCTTTCCCCTGGACCAGAACCAGAACCCGGTCAAATACCACTACTACGACAGCCTGAAGTACGGCTACACCTCGCAGGCCAGCCCGCACACCATGCCCTTGGAGTTCAAAGCCTTAAAGACGCTGCACCAGCAAGGAGCCTTGAAGCTGACTGTGGGGGAGTGCGATGGGGCCACGTAGGGTGGTCCCCGGCCATGTTCCTGCACAGCCATGGGAGGAAGGGGAGGGGGCGGAAAGGACAAGTGGTGCCTGGTGGGGTTGGTTGTCTTTGTTAACGCGCAGGACAGTGACACAAATACATATACGTGGTACCTATATATATTGACCTGAGTATTATAACTGTTTGGTGTTCACCAAGGGAGGGGCAGGAGAGGTGCGGGAGCATCTGGCGTGACGGGCAGGGCCCCTTGCTGTGGGCTTGCTGGGCTCGAAGGGCATTCGCCCTGTGCCCAAAAGATGTGAAGGTGGCCTTGGTTTTTGAGGGTATGTTGGGTGATGGGTAAACGTAAGCTGTTTGTTGTGACTGGTCCGAGGTGGGTAGTTAGTTTGTTTGGCCGAGGGCGCTGGCGCTGGCACCGCAGCGAGGTGCGTTCTTGGCCCCGTGCTCGTGGCGGGGAGGGAAAGGGGCAGGGAACGGGGTGGGCAGGGAAGGTTTGTTGGTGGCTCTCAAGGCCGAGAGGCTGTCCACGGCTCTGAGCGGGACCAGTCCACCCAGCAGGGATCAGTGCCCGGCAGCTGTGCACAGATCCGTGCAAATATAGACAGCCCTTGGAGAGGGGAGGGAGAAGCCTCCAGGGCTGCAGCTGTATCTCCAGGGGGTGGCAGGGAGCAGTGCTGAGCTGATCCCAGTGACATTCACATGGAGGAGTGTGAGGGCCTCCCGAGAAGAGGAGCGTCAGTGTTGAGCCAGGCAGACAGTGAGGAGGATGCTGAAAGTGTATTTCTCTTCCTTTTCTAATAGGCAAGAAAGGAGCAGAGATTCTGGAACGTGGCAGGAAGGAGGTTTGCTACTGCAAACCGGCACTGTTAGTATTAAGTGTCTCACTGTGCCACAAAGACACTCAACATCTGTCAGGGCTCGTGAAAACCATAAGTACATCCAGCTCTTAATTCCCAGCTGGTATCTGCTAAGCAGCCTGCCTTCTCTCCCCCTCCAGAAATAATTGCCGAAATACGGGTGATAGGCCTGGACCCAGCAAAGCAGAAAGACTGCAGGACTTCAAGGGGCTTTGTTGAGTCTAAATAATTTATTTTCAGTTTCTCCACAAAGAACCAGCACACAGCACGGAATTCCTGAAGTTCCACTCTGTCCGTCCTTTCAAGCCCTAATTATCTCTTACTC